CATGCTTGATGGTTTTCAAAGTGATGGTACCAGCGTACAACCCCAATCAGAGTCTGACATGTCTGTCGCTCTACATCTTTGCTACACACTTGACATTGACTTTTTAAACTTAGCCAAGCTAGTAGGTGTGTGAAGGTGCTTTTTATTTGTATGTTTCTAATTACTAAAGTAATTAAGCATCATTCTTGTATTTAAGGACCTTCTGAATTTCCTTTTCTTTTTGTAACTTTTGTCCATTTTTTTCCTTGGATTGTCTTTCATATAAATTTATAAGAGATATGTTCTAGGTACTTATATTTCGTTGGTTATATGTTTTATGATTTGTGTGTGTGTGTTTTTTAATGGCATCTTTTAGTGAACAGAACTTCTTCATTTTAAAATAAAGTGAATTTATTTATTTTTTTCTTTTTGAGTTGTTAGCATATTCTGAGGCCATAAAATATACTTTTATCAGTATAGACTTACAGATATTTGTTTTATCCTGTGGGTTCTAATCTACTAATGTAATTATATTATTGCTCCAGTTGTCTCAGATTTGGCCCCTTCCAGTTGCTTCTGGTGTCTTTTTGTTAAGTCCTCGTCTTTTCTGAGCACTTCCTTACTTTCTCTACAAGATGTGCCAGGTTCATCTGATACTTTCCCTGCTCCAGCTTTGAGCCAGACATTTCTCCAAGTTGTCCTTGTTCTTTTTATTATAGGACCATGTTTAGAAACAAATATCTGGGTGCTGGTTGTATTTGTTGCTACTGGGATGTTATTGCCTTGGGTTCTTTTACAGGATAGAGCTAGGAAATATATATGTATACACATACCTGCATCTCTGTATACTTATCTGTCATCTATGGAAATACGTATTAAAAACCATGATATCTCTGATTCAAGTCCAACACCATAGATGTCCATTCTGGCCTTTTCTCTTTGTTTTGTCTCTAACCTCAGAGTATATAGTTTGAGATACTGGTTTCCAATGTGGTTAGGTTAGTTCTTTTCTCCTGTGCTCCCTTAAGTGTGCTTGTATTGTACCTTTGTAACACAGTTCATTTGTGACTGATTGTTTCATTTTGAGTTAACTCCATATACTGGTTGATTTTAATTATTTACTTTTTAAATTTTGTGACACATCCCCATGGCTATAAGTGTCAAAACTACACAAGAAGATATATTCGGAGAGCTGTCCCGCTCTGTTCCTTGTGTTCCATTCTCATTCACTGGTTCCTGCCCCAGTGGTTCCATAATGCCTGTAAGAGAAAATTCAAACAGTGTAATTGACAAGTCTCACCGTCATCTCAGTCTTAGCTTGTCCTCGTACACCACGTTCTGATTTCTTGTTATTCCTCAGACATGACTGCTATCTTCATGCCTCTGTGCCTTTGCACATTCTGTCTCTCTGCCTAGAATGATGTTCTGTTTCCTCTTACCTTGCCCATTTTTAATTATTCAAAACCTGTTTCAACTCTGTATCTACTATATGACTTCCTTTCCTTATCCTCTCCTCTCCACTTGCATTTCACTCCTCCTACATTTAATAATTCTCCTGTTCATTCTTCGCTGCACAGTACTTGTGAATGTTGTGTAACTTTTATGACATTTAATTTAAATTATTGATGCATAGGTGTGCCAGCTATATTAAAACTGTGAGCTCCTTAAAGGCAGAAGCTTCATCTTTGCATTTCAAGCATCTGATTCAGTTTCTCGTACATATCAGTTACGTGGTAAATGTAGAATGGCGAATGGATTTTATTCTCTTCACTTATTTTTTTAAAAAATTTTATTCATGATATAAACTCATAGTAATAGAATATGAATTATTATAATGTGATGCCCCTGATCTTGTTGTCCCTGGCATGTTTGTATTCTCTGCCTCTCCTGATATATTCTGGTCACAACCCTGGTAATTTAATGACTTCTGTGATCCCTGGGAAGTTACAATATCTAATTAATTTTTAGACACAGTATAGAAGGACAAGATGACATCAAGGTATAGAATGGTTTAAAATATGCAGGCCTAGAAAGTCAAGATTATTTTATCTGTCAGATTTGCTTCCTCACTTGAAAAGCTGAAATTTCCTGTCCTCTTAATCTGTTAGATTGGAAGAAATTGTTGTACTGGAAACAGATTCCTTCAATAGTCTTTTAAGAACCCTAGTCAGCTTTTAAAATGTCATTATTTTTGTCCAAAAGGCAAGTTCAGTGACCTTCCAAATTGTGTTTCTAAGCTGCTTATGTTCCTTTCATTCTGTATAGATTATTCAGCAGATTATGTTAAAATGTAGGGGTTTACTTCCACCAGCCTCTTCATCCGCCATCTGTTACTTTCCTCTCTCCCTCTGTATCGCATTCTCCTCCTGACACTCCTGTGTTTTCCATCTAATCATAGCTCATTCTCTAGAGTCCTGTCTGGACCTCAGAACAGAGGTTTAGTTGCAATATAGATATCATAGTAAATAAAGGGGGTCTTCAAGACCGTGCTTTGTGAGAACACAAGGCTTGCTGGTGCATCAGAGTGTCTGATGTCCAGGGTGAATGAGCTATGAGAAAGCATCCACTTATATTATTTATTAATTTTTATTTATTAATCTTATTTATTAAGTAAATAGATGAATGTTTTTATTTATTTATGAATTAAATAAATGTTCTTTATTAATTTTTTTTTTACTTTTTTATTCAAGTGTAACACTTATAAAGGTAAATGAATCATAAGTGAACACTTTGATGAATTTTTTCAAATTGAACGTAATCACGAAACCACCACTCAAACCAGGGAATCTAATATTACTAGTCACCAAGATTCCCCCTTGCACCCCCTCCTGGTCTCTCCTACCCCCTACACTGAAAGGTAACTATTATCCTGACTTACACAGTTTACCTGTTTTCAGACTTTATGAAATGGAATTGTACGGTATATTCTATCCTGTGTCTGGCTTCTTTGTCTCAGCATTATGTTTGCAAGATTCATTTGTGCTCTTGCATTAGTAATGGCTGATTTATATTCATTACTGTATAGCAGGCAAACTGCAGCCTGTGGGCTGGCTGACTGCTTTTGTAAATAAGGTTTTATTGGAACACAGCCGTACCCACTCATTTGCATATTGTTTGTGGCAGAGTTGACTGGTTGCAAAAGGACACAGAGACCATATGGCCTGCAAAGCCAAAAATATTTACTGCCTGGCCCTTTGCAGAAAAAATGACTGACCCCTGCTGTATAGTATTCCATCATGTGACTACTCCACAATTTATTTGTTACTCAGTTTTGGCTATTACAATGAATGCTTCTTTGACGATTATTGTATGTGTCTTTGGGACCTGTGTATGTGTATGTGCATTCCTGGTAGGCATTTCCCAGGTGTAGAATTCCTGGACCACAGTGTACGTTCATGCTCTTGCTTCATTAGATATAGCTGAACACTTTTCCAGTTCACACTCCCACCAGCAGTATATGAAAGCTGAAGTACTCCACACCCTAAGACCTGGTGTTGTCAGATTTTTACTTTTAGCTATGTTGATTAGTAAGTAATTTTATCTCACAGTGGGTTTAATTTGTATTCCCATGGTAATGAATGAGGTTGAGCACCTTTTGATATGCTTTGTTCTGAATGAGGTCTTTGCTGGATATATGTATTGTAAATATCTTCTTCTAATCTGACTTGTACTTTTATTATTTTAATAGTGTTTTTATTTTTATAATCTTGAAGGGGATCAAGGTATGCCACCCCCAGAAGATGCCACTTTAGCGTAAGGATTATTTTGAGCTGAAGGAAATTGAGAAATAGCAGTCACAGGAAGAGCTGTCTGCATGGGTTCCCTTTGTAAAGGGGAACCCATCTCCCTTAATAGGAAGAGGAGAACAATTCTTATCACCGGAGACTATGTAACAAGTCGTACAGTCTTTATCATGTTTCCTTGTCATCTTCCCCAATTTATCATCCTTTGGAGCCCAAATCCTCTTTTCCTTTGTCTAGTCACATTACTATTTATTGTCCCTTGTTAAAATGGTATATAGCCCCTCCGTCTAACTGCCTTTTTGGGTTTTCACTTCTTTTCTGTGATATCCCCAAGCATGTAAAAAGACTGACATCAGTAAAGAAACATATGCCCTTTTTTTCTATTTTGTCTTTGTCAGTTTAATTTTCAGGCCTCCAAGAACTAAACCTGAGAGGGTAGAGAAAAAGTTTTTTTCCTCCCCTACAAACTAATGCCAGGAACATTGCTGAATCTTGCATATACTGAAGAAAGTGAAATGAGACGTGGTGTTTGTAGATACATGAACAGTAGCTATCTCCAGCCTCGTCAAGGCACACCATCCCTGGGTAGCATGGATTTAAGTCCTTCTTAGTTAAGAGTGTGATTTGCCATATTGTTATTTGTTCTGGGGTCTGAGTAGAGACAACACTCTTATCTTTAACTTTTGAGTATTAAAAGCCATTCCAGTGCCTTAGAGTCCCCAGTTCTATAGGTGTTTCTTTAGCATTCCATGGTCTGCTGAATATTCAAAGGTTTTATTAAAATGCAGTGTCGAATATTTGAATCAGATATGTGTATATATATATTTTTCGAGAACTATTTTCTCAGATCTCTGAGTTTAGAAATGGAACCTGATTTATCTAACTTTAGGATGCATCAAATTGAATAGAGTAGATGTCTGTTGTAAGGGGTAGACTACATGATTTTTGAGCTACATTTAATAATTCTGTTTTTGTTTCAGTTTTATAAATAGCATCCGAGGACAGTATTACTTGATTAAGATGTATTTTGTTTGTTCTGTTCTTTTTGGTGATCTAGATGCAGATGATTTGAACTTGAAAGTATTTAGAGATAATCTAATATTACAGATATCTCCAATTTCTAGTTTAAGTGCAGCTGCTTACTTTAAAAAATGCTAGTTTCCCTCCTTCGGAAAAGAAATAAAACTTTTGCAACTATTTAGTGAAATTTCTTATGTACTTAACTATTTATTTTTCTATTTTTTCAACTATTTTCTATTTTTCTTAACCTTTTTCTAGGTTATACATTATTATCGTGGATGGTAATTATCTGAATTTCTGAAACCATGGCACGAGAATATAGTAAGTACTATAGCATACTTCCTATGCCCTACTAGCTTTAAAATGTGTTGACTTTCTGTCTTTAAATTTCTGATTGAAGCAGTAGAACAAAGTTTATATAAAAACAAAGTTTTTTTAAATTTTGATCCCTCAAAGGAATCAGTTCATTTGGTCATCTGCTTTTTGAGTCTATAGCTTTATATAGAAATATATGATTATAATGATTAGTTTCATCTTCTGACAGTCTTGCTCAGGCTGTTCCCTGTAAATACCAACAGAATGGGTATTAGTTTGGAGCCATATTGTGCATTCAGTTGATCCCCTATATTATAGAGTTGAGGAACTAACCGTAGCTACAGGGTGGGCCCTGGTTGGGGGCATTCTCATCCCTGCTTTGTTCGCATTTGACTCATCACGGACAAAGCATCTGCTAATGCTAGGCATTACCTAGCCAGAGCAATGATTTCATGAGTGGTCCAGTAATTTTCTTCTAGCCTGTGATACTCCAAGATAGATTTGCCAGGAGCTTCTGGCAGAAGTCTTCTAATAAACAGAGCTACAGGAAGAGCCTGCCTCTCTTGTTCTTCTTCTGGATGTTGTTTTGTGCCAGTGTGAGGTCTGGTGTGCAGCTTGAGCAAGAAGCCACACAGAGTGGAGGACAGAGAAGCCAGCCCTGAAGCCTGTCTCTCCTGCAGAAGTCTAAGCTTTTGAGCCAATACATTTTCTTTTTTGTTTAAGCCAATTTGTGTTGGGAGCCAAAACATCCCAAGTGATTCACTTAATCTCCATTTTATTTTTAGTAATCCATTAGTTTCTCCCTGGGGGATGTGGGAGTAATTGCAAAGCAAGGCAAAATAATAACGTTAAATTAAACTGGCAGGGCGTGTTGGTGTTGACTGGCACCCTCTTCACTCTTAATAGTTAACAGGTAGTGATTTAGTAAAGACCGGAGAACAAAATATATTGCTTTCAGATCCCCCCACCTCCCCTGCCCGAAGTTTTTGCCTTTTAATCAACCCACTTGGGCTGGGAATGCTAGAAATGCTCTTGGGGAACTGGCCTGAAAACTGTCCCCCTGTACAGGTGTGTTGTTTGGCAACGTGGACCTGTTCTTAGAATAGTCTCTACCCAAACTTCTAATCCTTGTTTGCATTTCAAAAATTAATATGAATACTCCAAATACGGTAACTATATAAGGAATAATGTAACAACTATCTGTATGCACCCTCTCATAACACACTAGAGAAATCGAATTTTTACCAACCCAGAGTAAGGCCCACTAACCGTAGTGTCTTTCTCTGCCTCTGAGAAACCACTGTCAGGGTTTTGCTCTTTATTCTCCTTATGAATTTGTTTGTCTTTTTACCACATAAGTGTAGTATGATTTTTGCATGCTTTTTTACTTCAGGTAAGTGTAGATACTATATGTATTTGTTGTTTAAAATCTCAAAGGTATTTAGAATAAATTCAGGGTCATGGAAAGAGGCTATAGATTTGTTCTCAGATATTTGTCCAGATTGATTTCTAGGCATCCTAGTGATCTATAGTAAATGTGTTAGATTTTAAATGGTTGATGAGTTTAATCAACATGCCGACAGCCTTTTATCTTATCTTCTGGAGTCTGGTGCTTGGTCTGCTGCTGAGTTCTCTTTCTGTATTTGATTCTGCACTCCTGCGCAGATTTGGCATATGCAAAAACACTTTTAGACCAACTATGTCCTCAATGGGCTCTTTAGAATGTGTTAGTTGCTTTTTCATTTAAATAACTCTATTCATCCTGTGGTCAATATGCATGCTTTTGGCAAACTTAGGAAAATCTATGCATTTTTCCACACTCTGACAATTAATCGTCACATCTACGAAATTTACTTCCGCGCTTTCTAAAATTGTCAGTTGTCAGTTTGTTCTTTGTACTGGTAGCAGCAGTTGTAAAAGCATCCACTCCTGTGAATAGACTGTGAAACGTGGTACCTGGAAACATAGTACTGTGGGCGGGGGGAGTAATTTTACTTCTGTCCTTCTAAGTTCTTCTGTCTAGACTAATAAATTAACATGAGGCAGATTAACAGAAGAAAACGACCAAATTTATTACGTTTGCACATATGGGAGTTCCACACAGATGTGAAACCTGGGGACACACCAGGCAGCTAGGGCTTATATGCTATGTTGAGCTAAGGAGAGTGTTGGCAGTGGGTTGTGACTTCAGAGGTCAGGAAGGCAATTCACAGTGAGATGTGTATTTGGTAAATGTTTGCTGGGCCATCTTTAACAACTGGACACAGAGAAGACTGGGATGAAAAGGGCCTTGCTAGGTTCCTCTCTGTCAATCACACACTAATTCACATTAAACTATAGTTCTCTGTGATGATATTTTCCTTCCTGAAGCAGGTCCTCTATCTAAATTCTTTTAGGCAGTTAGTGGGGAAGTCAGAGTTTCTTTCTGTGTCTTTTGCTTCTTAAAAATGATCAATATCCCAAAAGGCATGTTTTGGGATGGCAAACTCTGCCCCCCTCTTAGTATCTTAGTCACTGGTGAATCTCAGAAATCTTTGCTGTGTTGTTATTTCCTTTTGTGCCCCAATGTGAGCCTTGGAGATCATTTTTTATCATTCTTGTCTGAAATGCATCTTAGGTCATTTAACGTCTACATTCAAAAAACTCATTCTTTTGCTGTTGGAGAATTCCTGTTACCCCTTGTGCTTGTTTGGAATGTCGTTGTTGGAACTGGGAACCAAAGAATCATTTCTATTCAGAGATTAATAATTTCTTCAATGGGGAATATAATTACTGATAAAGTATCAGAGAAAGATTTATGACAATCGAAAGAGATTTTTTTTCAAGGTGTTATCTTTGCTTACATCTTTAACATGTCAATAAACAGTAAACTCAGAAGACGTTTTCCCCCTTAATTCATATATATTGTATCCATGTTACAGGAAGGAAAACAATAACATCTTTTGTTGAAATCAAATTTAGGTTTTTGTGCCTTGTGCACCATTTTTTTGGTTGTTAAGAGAATGGATTCTTCTTTTAATGTTCTTTAAATGTAACTAGGTTTTTTCCTCCTCATTGTGGACCCAGGATCTTAAATTAAAATGTTGCCAGTGTTATAAGATTATAGCCACCAAGTGAATACACCCCATCAGTAAGGCCCTTATGGAAAGAGCTACAAAATCTCTCTCATTGGGAGACAAACAGCGTTCAAGATAGTATGCCATTTTGTACACCTGGCCAGATATAGACACAAGAAATTTCAAGAAAGTTGAGCTATCATCCTGTAATATGTTTTATATCCATTTTCTTGTTTTAAAAACTTTAGTGTTATAGGTGCTTTTTAAGAGAAAAAGCCTATTGAAAAAATTCTTCGAAAAATCAATTCAGTGAACTGATATTTTTGTTTCTTGTGGAATGATGTCTTCTCATTTGTTTTTTTATATAAAAGGATTTGTAGACTTGGCTTGTTTTTATACCTCAAATGAAATGGTGCCTCTGTGGGGGATGGCCCACTGGGCTGAGGGAGCTCGTAGACAGTGACTCAGATCTGTAATTAGGTCCTGCTCTCCGCACCCTTGTTGACTTGAAAGCACTGGCCGTAGACCATTTAGTCTGGGAAAGCAATACATGAATCATCTAAATTGGCACAAATTATCTGGAATGCTGCTAAATGTTTTCTACTCTCCATTTCGATTGAGGGAATTAGGAAGGGAGGCTTGTTCTTTGAGTCTGAAAGTATCCTAGGGGCAAATATACATTTGTGAAAGCAAATGTCTTCCTAAGATGGAATGAAAAGCAGTAGAAAATCTGACATTTGTAAGCAGTTCCGATTTTGTGAGTCTGTGTTAGAACGTTCTTCCACTCTATATGTTTTTCTTTGTGAACAGGGTAGTAACTGTTGCCTGTCTTCCAGCTCCAGTTCATTCTCCCACCATGTCCCTCAGAAAGGGAAATCCAGGGGGCTGTCTTGTTTCCTGGAGCTTCAGTTTAACCCCACAGCACCATTGAGGTAGACGGAAATTCTAGAAGTTAATGTTGTATCCATTTTGCTTCCTCCAACTTGTCCCACTCGTCAAGTATTTCTCATATTTAGGACAGAATTTCGATATCCTTTTCTTTCCTTTCTCAAAACGATGTGTCAGCAGACTTTCTGAGATCTACTCAGCACCTGGCAATGAAGTGGGTGAAAGTCTTTTTTTTTTTCTTTACGAAATAATAAATTGACTGTTTCAGTTAATTTTGTAGCAAAAATTTAAAATAATCATTGTTCATTTTGAAGTGGAGGACACTTATAGGTCATTTAGGAATAAAAATAAATGAAGATTTTTCTTAGATCAGATGGTGTATGAAGGGTACTGCCCAGCACTTATTATCTTATTGTTTTTGCTCTAAAGAGAAAAAGACAAGCAGATTTATCCAATTCATAGCAGAAAGAAGAGATTTCCAACGTGTAATGTGAGTTGACTTTTTGATACGTGGATAAATGTGTATTTTCATATTGGAATATGTGTGAGTAGGCATGTCAGATGAATGCATCTTTTGACAGGAAGTAGGAGAAAGCCATAGCTCACTGTATAATTTTGTGTTTTGCAGGCAGGCGTAACTGCTGTTCTATATCTGTGGGTAGATGTGCACAAGCATGTGAATTAGGTTGTCTTCCTTCATCTATGGCATTGCTGTTTATTAGACATTATCATGTTCATTTTGGAGTTATTGAAAATCAGTTGTTCAGATTATAAAATTATTATTAGTACATCTGCCGAGTTAAGTTGAAAGATTGTAGAGTGAGTTTCTAAGAAACTGACTGGTCAAGTATTTTATATCAGTGAAAACCCTTGATAAAATTTTTTAGTATATTGTTAGTTAAGCTCTTTTCCCTGATACAAATCACAAAGACCTTTATACTAATGATTTAGGCTGTGGTTATAAAGAGTTCCTGTTCCTAAGAACTGTGATCTGTTTGTCATGAGGACGTGTTTAGTACCCAGTTAACCTTTCATTTACGCTCTTTTTGCAATTAAGAGCCA